GTGGGAAACCTGGAGGTGTTCAAGCAATACCAGGTGTGAGGTGGAGCTGCTGAACGGCCAGAGTTGGGACGCTCTCCTTAGGTGACTGCAGATCAATTACATGTAAGTTTCTTCTTGTCCACTGGTCATTTTGCTCAAAACCAAATGTGACTTGATCTTTGTTCCTTTCTGAACTTACTTTGAAAATATAGTAAGACCTCAGAAAAACTCCACTGACAGATTGCCATCTAATTTGTGGTCCAGAGAACAGGTGTATCAGGTCCACAAGAGGATTAAGAGGTTGATGAGGGTCTTGGATATTGGAGTACAAGGGTTTTCTGAGGGGAGGAATGTTAAATTTGAGCTTAGAAAGATGAATCATGACGCAGTATAGAGGAAGTATGGGGTAAGAAAGAGAGGGTTTCTCTGCAAACGAACTAGAGTGAGTGGCTGACAGTAAGAATGACTATGGGTGAGATGGACTCCTCACACGGGGCGTAGTGACTAATTCAGGGTGTTTGCACCTTGTGAACTTAGAGTCCAAGGAGCTTAGTTTGAGAAAAGGGATGTATTACATGACTTTTGAAAATGGCAGCTTTCAATTAAGGTTTCCTTGGTCCATGTTAAAATTAGATTTTATTTCCCGAGCACATACAAATGGACCCAGCAAAGGGAAGACAGGTGTGCTATGTGATAGGGAAAGCCAGTCAGGATTAAAATACTGCTGTGAGTAACTCTGGTCCTTCTTAAAATAACTGCCTTTTGTTGTTATTAATGCTGATAATGGTTGCGTCAAAATCTTTCAAAATAATTTACTTGCCCACATTCCACTATTCATCTGAAAGGAACCTTTTATTGTTTAGGCAAAAGCAATTGTGACCATTCCCTAAGAATTATTTCTACCAAAAAAGGGACACTTTACTCTCAGGCACTTACAAAATTTGGATGTTTTTGAATATTCTTGTACTGTGGTGGCCAAGTGATTACATTTTTTTCTATTTCTGCATCTTACACTGATGATTTCTGCATCTTACACTTTAGCTTAAACATGCTGTTGAGCTTTCCAAATTTGTAAATTATTGATTAGTTGATTGCAGGTTTAAAATCAAGCAGGCTCGTCTAGGGATTTCAAATAGTTCCAGGCAAAACTGGGAAATAGTTGGCATTTCTTTCTGAATCTCTGGATCTCCATCTCCCTTCATAACCATTTCCTCTTCTCATCTCTACCCACTGTCCCTCATCCTTCCCCAGGACTCTCCCTCTGGACCATCAACTCAGAGCCCCCAAGTCTGGTTCCTGCAAGTCCCTCTAGCAGCCCCTTGCTCCCAGCAGGATCTTCCTTCAATTTCCTTTCTATCTACCTCTTTTCTCCCTCCTCCAAACAGGAACAGTACTCAAAGACAAATCCCTGCCAGAGTGTTAATCTGTCATTTTCCCTGGTAAAATACTGCACTTTAATAGAGACCTGTGATGATTTGACCAAATGAAGTTATTTTAATAGGAACTTGGGCATCATAGTATGCTGGGAGGGCAGAGGCTTACAGTCTGTAAAGATCTTTAGAGTTCTCAAAACGCTTTCATCTCTGTTGTCTCCTCAGTTTGGTATATCTAAAAGGGGTTGGTGGTGAAATGTTCAGAGAACAAAAATATATATATTTATATTTTAGCAGGCTTCTCAAAACACCTGATCAGGTTGCAAAGAGGGTTAACTAAATCCTTAGATCTGCCTTTTAATCAGCATAGCATGGTAAAATTGCAAATTAAAACTGTGTTAAGACATTCTAATAGTTGGCTTTCCTGTGAAGAAGCAAGGCCCCAGACTCATGTATACAGAGATATCACTGATGATCTGAATTGAAATGAATTGATCTGAATTGTTTACTGGGGCTTCTTGGAATGGTTGCCCATCACTGCATCCCCCAAATGAATGGTGTACCCATTCTAAAACCTGAGTTATGGGATAAGCCTAGGAATTATAGGATGCTTAGCTAAGAGAAAAGGACTTGATACTTTGCCTTGTACAAAGGACAAGCAAGGCTGGAGAAGACTGGTCCAGGGTGTCATGATGGTGCTCATCATGATAGCAAAGTGAAGACCAGGGGTGAAAAACAAGGGACTGAAAAGGTATTGCTATATTAGTCAGACAGCTCAGGGCTAGGGTGTCATTAATATAGCCTCAAAAGGTTCTATATCCACTTCTCCACTGTTTTCATTGAACTTCGCAGATCTAGCAAACTTTGTGTTGTAAATTTACACAGTTAATGGTCCTCTTTTTTCTTCTATTTCCCTTTTGTATTATACAGTGTTTTCATAAACAAAATTTTCCTAAAAAATGCAAATCTGTCTTGGCTGTGTTAAAGAACAGACAAGGAAAATGGCTCTGGCTTCACTTGGGCCAGAGGGAAAATGGATATAGTAAAATGGATTTTAGTAAGCCAGTGGGAAGGCCAGGGATCAGTCGGACATGAAAAGACAAGAGGCAACATGGTGTGTCTCAGTGGTAAAGAACGCGCCTGCCAATGCAGGAGGTGCAAGAGGTGAGGGTTCAATCCCTGGATTGGGAAAATACTCTGGAGGAGGAAATGGCAACCCACTCCAGTATTCTTGCCTGAAAAATCCCATGAAGAGAGGAGCCTGGCAAGCTACAGTCTGGGGTCGCAAGAGTTAGACACAGCTGAGCTTAGCACAGCTTAGGAGAAGGCTTTCTTTTGACCCAGGTTTTGGAGAATTTTTTGTTTGGTATGATTAAGTCCAGTTTGGGTGTTTGGTGTGGGTATGGATGCCCTTCGGAGAAGGCAATGGCACCCCACTCCAGTCCTCTTGCCTGGAAAATCCCATGGACGGAGCAGCCTGGTAGGATGCAGTTCATGGGGTCACTAAGAGTTGGACACGACTGAGCAACTTCCCTTTCACTTTTCACTTTCATGCATTGGAGAAGGAAATGGCAACCCACTGCAGTGCTCTTGCCTGGAGAATCCCAGGGATGGCGGGGCCTGGTGGGCTGCCGTCTATGGGGTCGCACAGAGCCGGACACGACTGAAGTGACTTAGCAGCAGCAGCAGCATGGATGTCCTTGGTTGGAAGCACCAGGGAGAGCTGCCTTGGCTAACTTTCCTGTCCGCTCTTCAGTTCCTATTAAGAATTAGCACCCAAGACTGGTGGGGTGCTTAAAAACAAGCAAACCAAGCCCGATCCATGAATATCCTCTATACTCCTAAAGAGATGTTTTTAAAAAACAAATTTTATTCCAATTGTATTTTAAAATAAAAATGAATCATAAATGAATCTCCTGCAACTATTTCAACCTTTAAAAAATTCAGAGTCAAGGAGCTGCAGAATATTATTTCCCCTAAACTGGTAACGCCTTCCTCCCAGATACCAGTTGTAATTCCCTTTATAAACTGTTTTTAAACTGTGATTTTAGAAACTTTGAAGTATCAACATATATACAAACTGCTGTCATGCTCACTAGTTCTATACCTCAAGACAATGATTATAAATTAACTGAAGAAATACTACGTAAATCCTTTAGGCCATAATTCTATTTTTATTTGGTTGCTTATTTTCATTGAGCATAATTTTTTCTTGAATTCATGGTAATTTCCATAGATGACTATGTAATTTTTTTACAGACAGATTCATAAATATGTCCTATGATTTACCTATATAGTAATATCTAATGTAAGTGCTTTTCTTCATCAAATTTGATTTAAATAGATTTAGTTCAATATATGAAGCTTTCACTGGCCTTGGTGTCTACTTCAATATGCCTTTAAAGGCAAACAGTAATATCCATACACCTTAGTTTTTCTACTAGCAAAATAGAAATAGTGATAATCTTTCTTTCTTTCTCTTCCTCTCACCAAGTGATCTTAAACAAACAGTAGGAAGCTGCTGTAAGGCTTTTAAAAAATGCAATCAATTTCTTTTCCCGAGCTCGGTTCTCTAGGTCCTTTCCAGGTTCAAGTATTGAACCAGGTTTTTGTTTTTTGATGAAAAGAGAAAAAGCAGCAGGAGTTTAATGGTTTGGGAGTCTGAGACCCCTCCCTTCTCCCTTGGCCCAGGCCAGAGAGAGCAAAGGAGGAGCATGGTAGCTTCCTTAGTCCTGTCTTCAGTGAAGCGACACTTTGTTTCCCTTGCTTTTCATCTTCGTATGCTTTTCAAAGGTTTCCCCTGACATTCATCTTCATGGTAGCACCCTAAGATAGCACGCATCCATTTCTACTTCTCATCTTTCCAGCTTAGTGCCCTCTTCAAGGCCCCGCACACAGTAACAGGGAGGCTAGAGACTGGAGCCCCGAACCCAATGCTCCTTGAGAGAGTTTTTATATTGAGCACCTTTTCCAGCCCGGCTCAGACAATAAAGAATCTGCCTGCAATGCAGGACACCCAGGTTTGATCCCTAGGTCGGGAAGATCCCCTGGAGAAGGAAATGGAAACCCACTCCCGTATTCTTTCCTGGAGAATCCCATGGACAGAGGAGCCTGGTGGGCTGCAGTCCATGGAGCCACAAAGAACTGGACACGACTGAGTGACTAACACTTTTCCAGCCTCAGTTTCCTCATACTACAGAGATCCCTGCTTTCATGGAGGCTGTGGTAGAGTGGCTATCTTCAGGCCTGGCACACAGCTGGTGTCCAGTCAATGGTCTCATTATAAGAATGATGTGAGAGTATTATTACTGGAGGGAATCTGGAAGAGACTTGGCAGGGAGGCTGGGTTTGGATGTCAAGTTGGCAACACACCTGAGGTCCACATTACCTTGTACATTTCTCACCTTCTGTACTCTGGTTACCCTTCCTGCCCATCCCTCCTGGCCCCAGGTGGCTGCCCTGAGAACAGTCTGGTAATTTCATGCAAGAGTAACATATTCTTCCCCATAGTTATATGGAATTAAGCATCCCTGTTGAAAAAGCTTAGCGATTGCATCTTCTCTCTGAAAAATAGAATGGTAAGCCTAGAAATAAAGTTGCCCTTTGATGTTTACGCCCTCTCCTTCCCTTCCTTTCTCTCTGAAGCCTCTCCAAGGTGCAGCCACCATGATCTCGGCAGGCTGATGATGGAAGAGAAAGAAGCCGGGAGACCCCGTGCTCCAGCATCCCTGGACGATGGATGGAGGACAGCCAGTCCCTTCTCCCCTGGTGCCCCTTGGGAACATGTCATCAGATTCTAGCATGTCTCTGGAGCAGAAAACCACATTTGTTTTTGTGATTTTGTTGTTTATTTTCTTGGGCATCCTCATTGTCAGGTGCTTCCGGATTCTTTTGGACCCGTATCGGAGCATGCCAACCTCGACCTGGGCTGACGGACTTGAAGGCCTGGAGAAAGGGCAGTTTGACCATGCCCTTGCTTAGCAGGACAGAACCAGGAGTCCATCCTGAGGAAGAAGAGTGCTTCGTGTCTCAGTGAGAGGTTTTCTTTAGTCACCGTTCTCAGCAACTCAAAGTCTTCACCCTATCTGGTTCTAGAACCACAATCCGTTTATTCAGTAAACATTTGAGGACATTGGAAATGGAGGTTTCTGTTACCAACCCAAAATAGGAAAGTTTCAATTTTGATATTTACTCAATGAATGAATATTGTTGAATGTGTGTGATGACGAAGCCAAGAGTACCAATAGTGACTTTGCCTAAAATGAAGCCCTACTGGACCCGGGGGACCTGACTAGGTCACCAGGAAAAAAGACCTGATTTGAATCTGAAGGCAGGGCCAGAACAGACTTCCTTGCTCTAATTTTGTTCCCCAGCTTGTTTTATTTTCATGGGAATCTGGGTCCTAGGCAGAGAATGAGGAAGACGCTGCTGAGTGGACCCAAAGCAGCTACTTGTTTCCTCCTAAAGCTAAGAGCAATGGGAGGCAATGGGGAATGCTTAGAAGAAGTGATTAATCCCTGGGAAATACGAGTGAGGATGATGTTATTTTACTTTTCAAATAAAACGAATTCAAAGGCTTGTGGAGGTTTGCAAACTATTTACCAGGCCAAGTGCATTCTATGTATTCATATTAATAACATGAGTAGAGGTAGCAATACATAATCTGAATTTACTTTCTTTGCACAATTGATTGAAATAATAGGTGGCTATTTCAAATTGTGTTTTTTTTCCAATAAAAAGTTAACTGTTTGGAGGAGAAGACTTTTATAGTCTTAAGAAGAATGTATGCTTATGACTGAATAAACCAAATAAAACTTTTCAAGAAAGAGAAGTGTCTCCTCTCTCTTATTTCAGCGCTCTGGAGGCAGTGTGTTATATCAAATGCTGAGGACTAATTGTTCTGAGAAAGAGAAAAAGACCAAAGACCATGAAAGGTCATCTAATTCATCCTTCTCCCATTTCAGGAAGGGCTTCCACGGATTGACACATGGGACCTATTCTAAGCACCATTTAATCTCCCAAAAAGAGAAATATGAAAACCTCTTATTCCAACTCCATACGGATAGGAAAAACTTTCATCTAAACTAAACTCCTTAAGGCTGCATTTAAAGTCTATGTCTTTTAATTTTCTCCTCAATTAGCCTTCATTTTAAAAAAAAGTTTAAAAAAGGAACTATGCCTCAAAAGGCAGCCCTTAGTAAGACTTCTCCCTTGTCTTATTCTTTCTTTTGTAACATTTTGGAGATTCTTCTGCTCAGCTTTCCCTTGTCCCCCATGTTCCCTTTTGATTTATCTTCATTTAAAAAATAATAGCTCTATTAAAATGTAATTTACATACCACAAAATTTAGACTTCTAAAGTAAACAATTCACTAGTCTTTAATATATTCACAAAATTATGTGACCATCATCCCTCTCTAATTCTAGAATTCTATACCCACCACCAATCATGTCCCACCCCTCTGTCTTTCAGATCTAGTAATTTCTAATCCAACTTCAGTCTCTATGGATTTGCCAATTCTGGACATTTCATACTAATGGAGTCAAAGAACACATGGCCTTTTGTGTCTGGCTTCTTTCACATAGCATGTTTTTAAGACAGATTCATCTGTGTTGTAGCATGATCTGTATTTTATATCTTTGTATGGTCAAATAATATCCTGTTGTTTGGCTAGACTGTGTTGTGTTAGTCACTCAGTCATGTCCAACTCTTTTCAACCCCATGGACTGCAGCCCGCCAGGCCCCTCTATCCATTGAATTCTCCAGGCAAGAATACTGGAGTGGGTTGCCATTCCCTTCTCCAGGGGATCTTCTTGACCCATGGGTCGAACCCGGGTCTCCCACAATGAAGGCAGATTCTTTACCATCTGAGCCGTTATTCATCTATCATGGTTATTCATTGGCCAGTCTTAAAAAATGCTGCTATGAACACATTTGTACAAGATTTTGTGTGGATATGTGTTTTCAATTCCCTTTAGTAAATTCCTGTGAGTGGATTTGCTAGCCCATATGCTAATTCTATGTTTAACTTTTTGAAGAACTGTGAGACTGTTTCCCAAAGAAGCTGTATTAGTTTGCGTTTCCACCAGCAAAGTATGTAAGTTTTGATTCTTAACTCTTCCCAACTACTCAGATTTCTTTAGCTATAGAATTCATAACTGTGTTCACTTATAAGAATGAGCCAGATTAAAACGAAACCTCTTGGTTTTGTCAAGCTACAAGTTAACTGATGCCTTCAAAGATCCTACATTTCTAGTTCCAAAAACACGACACTGATGCTGATCTGTGGTCATCCTGTGGTCTGTTAAGTCACCTAAGTATATACTTTTTTTTGTCTTACTATTGCATCTTTCTTTAACCTACTAATTGTAAAGTTTTCTTTTTTCTTCAAATGTACCATGTCATGTGTATCCTTATTTAATTTCTCTCCTATTTTATTGGGAGTCTATTCAAACACATTTGAGTATTTATTGAGCACCTGCTTTGAGCCTGGCATTTCTAGCATTGGAGAGAGAGGAAAAACATGAAACTAGTTCTTGCTCTTCAGTAGCTGTCGACCTCACTGAAGAGCTGAGAAATGAAAGAAGGCATGTGTCCACGTCATTGTTCAAACAACTGTGGGAACCTATGGTTCCTACACCATCAGAATTCTCTCAGAGCTTAACAAATATATATGCACCCCCACTAATTTTTATTACAAAAGGTGTATATGACCATGGTTAAAATGTAGAAACAATATGGAAAGATATAAAATAAACAGCCAAAGTTAAAATTCTGCCTCCTTAGTTCATTCCAGCTCCTCAGTTCCTCTGGGGGAGCTTGTTGAAAATGTAGATTCCGACAGCCTTCCCTCCCTACAGAGAAATTCTGTAAAGGTGGGTCAGCAAACAGATGCTCCAGGAGATAGAATATGGGAGAGATGGATGAGGGCCAAGATAGTCAAGGAAACGTCCCAGGAAACAGTGAGTCAGTTGAGGACAGTGCATGTTTAAGTGCATGGTATAAAACTTTATGCAATCTAAGTTGCTATTCTGAAATGAATTATGTCTTGGCCTAAGATGATAGATGTGTTTTAGATATGTTCATTGGAAGAGAAGAGGGAAAGTTGTAGAAGAGGAAAGGGAATGAGGGTGTGGGGCTTAGAGGAAGGGGAGCAGCCTGCCTGGACAATATAGTTGGAGGGAGAGTTGGAATTCGCATGGGAAGGATAAGAGTGGAGCTGAACATCCGAAAGTCGGAAAAGGCAAAATGAAGGGTGAGAGTCACTGCAGGTTCTTGAGGAAGAAAATGACATGGGGAGTGGTGGTCAAGGCCCGTGTGTGCACCCTCCCTTGGGGCCACGCTAGGATCTGCTACTAAAACAGGACAGACGCAAATAGCCATCTGCCCTCCACGAGGCCTTGGAACACGGGGTTGCCAGTAAGTGCCACAGCGCCTGCTCTTCTTTCTCTCCTCACTTTATCCCCCACTCTATTTTTGTTTTTCCTTCTCAGATTACATGAAGGCAGATTCTTTACCATCTGAGCCGTTATTCATCTATCATGGTTATTCATTGGCCAGTCTTAAAAAATGCTGCTATGAACACATTTGTACAAGATTTTGTATGGATATGTGTTTTCAATTCCCTTTAGTAAATTCCTGTGAGTGGATTTGCTAGCCCATATGCTAATTCTATGTTTAACTTTTTGAAGAACTGTGAGACTGTTTCCCAAAGAAGCTGTATTAGTTTGCGTTTCCACCAGCAAAGTATGTAAGTTTTGATTCTTAACTCTTCCCAACTACTCAGATTTCTTTAGCTATAGAATTCATAACTGTGTTCACTTATAAGAATGAGCCAGATTAAAACGAAACCTCTTGGTTTTGTCAAGCTACAAGTTAACTGATGCCTTCAAAGATCCTACATTTCTAGTTCCAAAAACACGACACTGATGCTGATCTGTGGTCATCCTGTGGTCTGTTAAGTCACCTAAGTATATACTTTTTTTTGTCTTACTATTGCATCTTTCTTTAACCTACTAATTGTAAAGTTTTCTTTTTTCTTCAAATGTACCATGTCATGTGTATCCTTATTTAATTTCTCTCCTATTTTATTGGGAGTCTATTCAAACACATTTGAGTATTTATTGAGCACCTGCTTTGAGCCTGGCATTTCTAGCATTGGAGAGAGAGGAAAAACATGAAACTAGTTCTTGCTCTTCAGTAGCTGCCGACCTCACTGAAGAGCTGAGAAATGAAAGAAGGCATGTGTCCACGTCATTGTTCAAACAACTGTGGGAACCTATGGTTCCTACACCATCAGAATTCTCTCAGAGCTTAACAAATATATATGCACCCCCACTAATTTTTATTACAAAAGGTGTATATGACCATGGTTAAAATGTAGAAACAATATGGAAAGATATAAAATAAACAGCCAAAGTTAAAATTCTGCCTCCTTAGTTCATTCCAGCTCCTCAGTTCCTCTGGGGGAGCTTGTTGAAAATGTAGATTCCGACAGCCTTCCCTCCCTACAGAGAAATTCTGTAAAGGTGGGTCAGCAAACAGATGCTCCAGGAGATAGAATATGGGAGAGATGGATGAGGGCCAAGATAGTCAAGGAAACGTCCCAGGAAACAGTGAGTCAGTTGAGGACAGTGCATGTTTAAGTGCATGGTATAAAACTTTATGCAATCTAAGTTGCTATTCTGAAATGAATTATGTCTTGGCCTAAGATGATAGATGTGTTTTAGATATGTTCATTGGAAGAGAAGAGGGAAAGTTGTAGAAGAGGAAAGGGAATGAGGGTGTGGGGCTTAGAGGAAGGGGAGCAGCCTGCCTGGACAATATAGTTGGAGGGAGAGTTGGAATTCGCATGGGAAGGATAAGAGTGGAGCTGAACATCCGAAAGTCGGAAAAGGCAAAATGAAGGGTGAGAGTCACTGCAGGTTCTTGAGAAAGAAAATGACATGGGGAGTGGTGGTCAAGGCCCGTGTGTGCACCCTCCCTTGGGGCCACGCTAGGATCTGCTACTAAAACAGGACAGACGCAAATAGCCATCTGCCCTCCACGAGGCCTTGGAACACGGGGTTGCCAGTAAGTGCCACAGCGCCTGCTCTTCTTTCTCTCCTCACTTTATCCCCCACTCTATTTTTGTTTTTCCTTCTCAGATTACCGCTCCTTCTTTAACCCACCCCCTCACCGGTTGGGCCAGTTTGATCCCACCCTGAATATGGGTCTCCCACGCTCCACCCTCCCTTGTCCAGAGCCAGAGACCAGAACAAGTGATGAAACGCTTTGGGGTGTTCAGAGTAAATTGATCCCTCCAGTGAGAAGTGCTAACTCTGTTTTAATTACTCAGGACTCCTTGGGGTGAACAGACTATTCTTGAAAGGTCACAAAAGCCCTCTCTCTCCTGGCTTTCTGGCTACCGGAGTTATAGTGCAGCATTTTGCCTACCTTACAAGATATTTATAATGAGTGCAGCTGCCCTCTATCATGTATATCTGTATCCCAGGATGACAAAAATTACTTTCCCAAGGTCACGCTAGCAGAGAGCTGACTTTTGATTCAGTAAAATGTGGCAGACTCATGCTCAGTCTGAGCTCTGTTTGTGCTCCCAAGAGACTCCAAGTTCTAGATCAACACTGCTTCTTCTAAAAGACCTCTTTTTTAAAACATCTTAAACCCTGTAAAGTAAGTCTAATATGGGTTTGAAGGAGATTAACTTGACTCCTGCTGTTAAACTAATGAACATTCCAAGTAAGATTGTTCTTTTACTATTTTTAAGGGTTAAAGCTGAAACAAAATAAAGCAACAGTTTTAGGAGGCAGGAATTAGAGTGGATGTT